TTTGTGGTGTCTTTATCTGGTTTTGGAATTAGGGTAATGCTGGCTTCATAGAAAGAGGTTGGAAGTGTTCCTTCCTCTTGAATTTTTTGAAATAGTCTGAGGAAGATAGGTTTTAGGTCTTCTTTGAATTCTTGGCAGAATGCCCCTGTAAAGCCATCTGAAGCAGGGCTTTTGTTTGCTGGAAGATTTCTGCTTCAATTTCTTTGGTAGTTATCGTCCTATTAAGATTTTTTTTAGAACCGTGACCTCCTGGTTCATAGGCCAACACTCAACCACTGAACAAAACTGGCGAGGCCAGCACACATTTTTAGAAATCCAAAGAAAGGGATGGTTTCTGCCAATCAAATTTCCCTGTAGAAATCACCTAAGCCCCACAAAACATGATGATCTGGTGAGCTGTCTCCAGGTGCCACCCAGAACCCTCGGCTCAGCAGGCAGGCCTTCCCTGGTTGAGCCAGACGGGTGTGTTTTGGAGGAAAGGGCAGTGGAAGAGAGTCAGAAACCTGGGTGGCAGGGCCTGGTACCCTTTATTTCCTTTCTTCTTGCCAGAAGGGGAGACAAAAGAATAGTAGGGGGACAGGGGAAAGAAGTCAGGGTAGGAGGGAGCCTGCTTGTTGACCCCCACCTTCTACACAGTATCTCATTTAAGCCTCACAACAGTTAGTCAAGGGTAGATATTGTTGCACTCTTCTTTTTATATTTATCTTTTAATCATCTCCTGAGGATATATTTTTAATTGATTTTAAAGTGGGTGGAAAGAAGAGGGGAGAGAGAGAGAGACATTAATTGGCTATCTCCATATGGGCCTCAGCCTCGGATGGAACCTGCAATCTGCCCTGACCAGGAATGGAACATGAAACCCTTCAGTGCATAGTATGATGCTCCAACCAACCAAGCCACACTGGCAGGAGACTGAGAGGTTGTATAACTTGATCGAGGCCACACAGTTGACTACTGGTGGAGTTCAGATTCACACCCCTGCGTCTTTGATGACATAAGTGCATTTTTCTACTCCACCACTCTGCTTACAGTGGGAAGTGACAAACTTCTGAAGCTTTGTGCTCACATCAGTTTAGAGAAGTGGACTGCTTATGTTGGCAACACAGCTACTGAACTGCAAATGACATACACAGGGCTGACCTGGGGATCCCCGGCTTTCCCATCTTCCATGTTGGGCATGTGAGCCCAGAGGGAGGAGAGCAATTTTGGGAAACACCTTAATAACAGCAAATTGATAAGTAAGTGAATGGGTACCTCAGTCTCATGTGGGGAAGAGTCCTGCACTGTCAGGTCCTGGACCTCCCTGTGCCTCTAATTCAGAGGTTCTCAACCTGTGGGTCACGACCCCTTTGGTGGTCGAACGACCCTTTCACAGGGGTCGCCTAAGACCATCCTGCATATCAGATATTTACATTACGATTCATAACAGTAGCAACATTACAGTTATGAAGTAGCAATGAAAATAATTTTATGGTTGGGTCACAACATGAGGAACTGTATTAAAGGGCCAGAAAGTTGAGAACCACTGCTCTAATTGGTCCTGAAACCCTGGGGACAGCATGGTGCCTCCCTGCCTCTGAGACGTTGAATCTTTTAAGTATGATACCACCATATATTGGTTTACAAGGGTTGCCATAACAAAACTCCACAGACTGGGGCTTAAACAGCAGAGATTTATTTTCTCACAGTTCTGGAGGCTGGAAGTCCAAGATCAAGGTGTTGGCGGGTTCAGTTTTTGTGAGGCCTCTCCTCTTGGCTTGTGGATGAGCGCCTTCTCCCTGTGTCCTCACATGGTCTTTCTTCTGTGCCTACACACCCCTGGTGTCTTTCTCTATAGCCTAATCTCCTCTTCTTATCAAGATACTGGTCATATTGGATTAGTCTCATTTAATGTAATTACCTCTTTAAAGGCCCTCTCTCCAAATATAATCATAATCTGAGGTACTGGGGTTAGGGCTTCAACATGAATTTTAGGAGGACATAATTCAGTCCATAATATACTATATATTTCAAAAAGTTCTGTGTTTCCTAAATTGAAATGTCAATGAATATAGCATTCATATGTTAAAGAACATAGCAAAAGTATGGAAAATTAATTAAAAGCTTTTCTTCATGGAACATCAAACACTTTCAAACACTATGGAAACCCACTAAGAAATATATGCCATTGGCTTTCAAATTTGAAGCAAATTTAAACTGGGGAGGTGAGTGAAGAGATTCTGGCCAGGACTCAGATTAGAGCTACTGTTAGTGCTGGGGTACTGGCATGGCAGACCATGCCCATGCTTAGGGCTCCAGTTCAACTGGGGCCTCAAAATATTTTTGTCCCAAAGAATGTGATGTTAAAGAAAAAAGCATTGAAGGAAACTGGGACAGCATGGAAAAACAGAGATTGTTGTACTTCCTCAGACTTATTTTACTATATTTATTTTGAATACTTAAAGGAAAGATAGGGCATTTTTATGTTTTCACCCTGACTATATACAATATATAATGTATATGTGTTTGCATATAATGTATGCTCATATATATAGATAAATGTGTATGTGAGTATATATAAAAATTGGAAGTACATGCAGAAAAAGTATTATACCCCATTCTCATAACATAATCTGAGTACTTTCTACAACATTAAATATTATTTGAAAACATGACATTTAATAGACGCTGAATATTCTATTCCATTTTATGAGTGGATCTGAGTGTATTTAACCATCCTATCTAATAATAGACAAACGTGGTAATTGACTGTACCTTCGCTATGCCTCCCCATTGGCTAATCAGCATGATATGCAAATTAACCCAACCAAGATGGCGGCCGGCAGCCACGCAGCTGAAGTAAGCACGAGGCTTGCTTGCTCCAGTGATGGAGGAAGCCAAGGTTCCCCACCTGCTGCGGCCCAGCTCTGAGCTCCGAAAGCAACAAAGTTTCAATTATAGATGCTAAACAAACCCCAGATACCTGCTTTCAGC